TGGCTGGCGCGGAAGGTGCACCAAGGGGAGCGCCAAGAACGTCGCTCAAAAGAAGAAAGGTACAGTTTAAGGCTTTGTTTATGTGACAACATGAAGATTGGCGGTCGCTTTGGGAAATAACTGACCCTTTTACACGTTGGCTGGCCTTCGGGCCATGCAAAGACCTAGTTGCTTTGTTCTCCGTGGAATACATGTACCCAGCACCACTTACGGACTTCTTCCACCAGGTGAGAAGTCGCGGGACACTACACACAGAACAAGATCTTACTTTCCACCATAGGTGTGTGATACAAACAGTGGACAACAGCATAGGAGGTGTGGATCAGTGGGGTTCGTCTTCTGCTGCCACCAGTGCAGCACCTCGAGGGGCTTCCCACTAGGTGGAAGAAGGCATTACGTTGGGTTGAATAAGAGGTGATTAGGCATCGGCTTGGCCCAAAGACCAGCCCACAGGCACAACACCAAGACTAGCATCACAGCAACTGCTGTAATAAAGCTGTCAACTTCTGCCCCACATCCACTCTACATCTCTACCCACTACCACACTCGTGACATTACCTTGCACAAGGACTACAGGAGGTTGACAACTGTGGACTGAATCTTCAACTGCAATTGATGAGCTATTGACCGATGCCTTTTGTGTGGAGCGAATGAATGCCACTAGACCATTTGGCTTGCCACCTCCACCATACCTTTCTCACTTACCCGAGATATTCACCTATGCTTTCTCTACTTCTGCGAACATTTTACAACGGTTTATTACCATCGCCCTTTCAGCATTTAAGTTTGACGTCGTGTGGGAGGGGCGGAATAGCAATTCGAACACGAGGCCAGTTCGTGAGGAGCATGAAGAAAGGTTCTTAGGTTGACGCAAGCTTTACGGCTCGTGAGTTCTCCCTCTTCATATCCTTTCGTTCTCTACGTGGTGCCTAACAAAGCTTCCCCAAGCAACCCTCTCCTGATGTTCGAGGTTCAAGGGCCCCACACCTCTGGCTGCTCAACTGAGCGAAATGATCTCTCGTCTGTTGTGGGCTCGCAAAGGAATACCGGTAAACCTTCACCCAACGGACTAGTGTGGGCCTCCTCAAGTGTAGTACGCAGAACCATTGGGAAATCAGCTCATCCACCACAAATTCTTAGTTCATGCTTGTTACGAAAATGCAGCCTTTTATCTCTGGATAACAAGCCTCGAGAAAGGGGAATGACGGTGAAGTGTTTTGTAGTTGATCTCAAGTAACCCGACGATGGCTAGAAGGGAACTTGTGGGAGGTGGGAAGGCGAAATGAACCCAATCTACTTCAATGTCCCTAGAAGGCATTTAGAAGGGCTAAAAGTGCACGTGTATTGGGAGAGAAGGGGAAGAGGTGGGGATTTGTCTTGGCGTGAAGACTAGCCCACACAGCGAAGAGCACGATGGATAGCCAAGTGACGGCCAAACACCCGATTGGTGGCGTAAACATAGCAGC